TCTTAGCACACACGATCTTTTCTAGAGCCAACATGGGAGGTGTTTTGAAGACTGAGCTCATTACACTTCAGATCCCATTTTTGGACGATCCACGACTTGCCTGTTTTTCCTGGAGCATAACGCAGAATATGGTAAAGGTGAAGCATGATTTACATGGTTGCGAGGACGCTACTCCAGCTTTCGGGAGTGGTATTACAGCGATACTACAGGCTGTAGGATTCGATTTCTCATCTGATGAGCCACTTCCCGATGTCTGGTGTGACCTACTTTATCTCTCTCGCGATCACACTATCTCTCGTGCCGCTTTCGATCCAGACAGGTTTGGTTACAAGTATTGCACTGGCACTGAGGAGCACCGAGTCAGCTTGCCTTCAGCATCTATCCCGAGATTGTGTAACGGAGGACGTCCGCGATGGACTCCGGAATCCGATGATTTTCTGTCATCTGTACCTCGTCTACCATTCACCATTGGCCAATACATAGTGGCCAAGACGAAGCGTGATGCAGCTGCAGCCCGTGCTCACTTTCAGCCATCTGTTTCGACCGGCCACACCTCATTATCTACATCATCGCACACTCATTCCGATCTGGAGCGCAGAGTTGAGAGACAGGGACGACGCTTTGAGCGCGTTGTCACCTTCCTACAGGAGCAGCACCAGTTCGCAGACGACACATCGGAGGATGAGTGATTAATCAGCACTTCACTACCATCGCGGTTCTATCATCATTTTCTTTTCTTTTATCTTATTTTATTTCGCTTTTATTCACCATCTTCTCACCAACGTTTTCACACTGGGGACAGTGTGATTTAAGTCTGGGGGAGGATGTCTATCCGTACTAATCATTTTCTTGCTTTTGCTTTTAAATTCCAAGTACTTTTTAAATTTTAATATGTAACCTATTCGACATTAAGTATTTTTCAGGAATGTTTGATGCAAAACTATAATGATTTAGACCTGCACACTTCTACACTATGCATGATAGCTCATGTGTGGTTAGCACTAGACTAGGCGGTAGCTAGAGTACTTGCACTACGAACTCCCACCAGAGGACTTCTATTCATGGAGATTGTTTCTGACAGGATATACTAGCTCATTCTATTTAACCTTAATATTGACATCTAATTTTCTCATCATTGATTTTAGGCAGGCATCGACATACACATCTAGGACGTCTTTTACCCTCACTTTTACCACTCTTTGTCGTCTTAGATGACCAGTTTATCTTTATCTGGTACCATACCCTAAACCCAAAACCCTTGTTTTCAATCCTCATGCATTCTCTCTTTAGTTTATATCAGCAGATATGTCCAAAAACGTCGGAGAGAAAAGGAGCGACGCAGTTTTCAGTCACTCACAAAGAAGACTGAATGGAATTGGGAAGGAAGAGTATTAGAAACATCATAAAGCTTTACAAGACAGATATTAACTGGTAATTTTGTGCCCTCTAAGACTTTATATCTAAAGGTGTTCCCTTTCCCTAAAAAAAAAAATTAAAATAAAAAAATAAAAAAAACGTGAAAAAAGAAAGGGAAACAAAAAGCCTATTGAGTCTTAGATTGTAGAAATTTGTGGAGCAATAAGCAACCACTATTCGTTTAAGGAGCTATGGTTTTGAAAGATTTACAAAAATCTAAGTCTGGGGGAGTTAGGAGAGAACCTGAGGAAGAAGACCAGGAATCTATGACAAGAAGAAAGTGACTGAAAACTGTGGATACCAACAGCTTCACTCTCTCTTGCGGTTTTGCATAATATCCTGCATCCTCCAGATCTTCAGGTAACCCATAAACACTTTAAGCCTTACCCCCAAAATAATCATTTTTGACACCTAGCCTAGACTGCTTTGCCTAGATTTTCTTTGATGAGAACCACCGAGATTTTTAATGAATGTTAAGAGCTAGTTGACTGGAAGTTAGAACCTAGTGAATAGATTTTCGCATGACGGATTAACGGACTAGTTATGCCTGTATCGCTAGTGAGAATTTTTTAGGCTATTCCCGATTGATGCATACTGATTGATATTGGTCTAGAAGTTTGGTCTCTGAGATTTTTTTTAGTTCCTGCATTTTTAAACCTCTCGCCGAGATTTAGCTTTTGTTTTGTTTGAGGACAAACAAAAGACTAAGTCTGGGGGAGTTGATAACACCGGATTTTGACCATTTTTATGGATCACTTTAATATCTTTTACAGGTGTTTTTACTCCATTTTCAAAGGTTTTCAAAGGATTTCTATGTTTCCGGATTTTAAAAGACTTTTCAGGTAATTTGGGATAAAGAGGCACAAAATGGAACAAAAAGACTCTTTTGGATAAATGCAGACCGTCAGAACTCTCATGGAGAGACGAAGACCTTCTCACCGTCTGATCACCCTCAAAATTGGATAACTTATAGAAGAATCAACAAGCTTTCAAATGCACTTGGTTTGGAGACATTCCAACGGTTGGATCTCAAGATATTCCATTAGCCCCGGAGCCACTTGAAGTCGGCCAGCAAGTCACGCGACCGCGGTGATCAACCTATTTCCCGCGGTCAGAAACTTCTCGACCGCGGCCAACAAGCCAATCCCCGCGGTCACGACACTCCCGACCGCGGCAATCAAGCTCTGAATTAAAGCCCATGTATCTGAAGCCCAAAGTCATTCTCAGCCTCAATTCCGGAACCCTAGAGACCATGGAGTATTGAAGACTATAAATACATGTCATTTAGGTCGTTTTTAGAGAGAGCCATTCATACTTTACAGAAACCCTTTCCTTTAGCCGTTTTTATGAGATATTGTAGAAGATTGTTCAAGTCCGAGTTCTTCAATAGAGAAGCTTTCTTTATCTATTTTCTTTACTGTTTTTCATTACTTTTATTAAAACCAATGATGATGTCGAACTCAGCCATGTCTGAGTAGATCCCGAGTTGGGTTTAGGGTTCCCGAAAGGGGCTCTCATAATCGATTAAGACATCTAGGTTTATAGATCTGGGATTTCGACCTGTTCTCTGTTTATTCTTGTTCTTATTGCAGGTACGCTTGATTGATCACCTAGTATCTAATCTAGATAGTTAGTGTTGCGAAAGTTTTCATTAAGTATCAGCCCTAGAATGAAACAGGCGATTTTTCCGTAGGAGTGGAAACCTACCTGCGGTGAGATTGTGAGTATTGACGAGTCTTGTGCAGCTCTTGCGTTATCTCCCTTCCAGGGCCAGAGTGGAAACCTACTGGTCAGGGTTGCGAGAAACAGTTGGTTATGATCACGACAGTGACGCAGTCATACCGCCATACTCTAGCTCTAGAACCCATATATCGTTATCTGTCAATCCCAATCTATCTACCTTAGTGTTAAAACCGATTATGATCCATTAGAGTTCCCAAAAGCTCAGCGTTTTTAGCCATAGTTTACAATTCCATCGATTTTTTTTGCTTACTTAGACCTGCATTTCAATTTCCTTAGTTCGATATTTACTTGCTTCACTAGTCTTTCATTCGATATTTACTTGCCTTATTAGTCTTTCATTCGATATTTTACTTGTTCTATTGTCTTTCATTCGATTTCTTTACTTGCTTTTTAGGATAGATTTATTTGCTTTCTTTTGTTTTAGTTTAATTTGTGACAAACAACCAGCCTTTAAAAATCAATCTAGTCTAGACATAAAGTTAAAAACCGTAGAAGAATACCAGGCACACAAATCTCTGTCGATTCGATCCCTAAATACTACAACTGATTAGCTGTGCACTTGCAGCTTTCATTTGTTTTGTTAAGGGTAAAACTTGTTCCCTCACGTAGTTGACACGACAATCAGCATCCCGGAGAAGTGCTTCTGTGGTTGAGTGATCGAGCTAGGAGGCATGTCTGCTGAGGCGGTTAGGACTCCAGGCCGCCAATACTACAGCTGTCCTGCATGGTTAGAAGAGGTAAGAGTGAAAAGTTAATATACTTCCATATTATTGCATTATGTATTTGTTGAAGCTGAGTTTAGTATCGATCGCTTGTTCTTATGTAGGGAACTCGGGAGCATATCTTCAAGTTCTGGGACGAGGCAGTCACGGAGCAAATTGGCATCCTGGAGAGAAGGATTTCGAATCAAAGACGCGACATGGGAATGGTTGAGAGAATGCCGGATACGAGCATGGCACTCTTAAAGGAGGAGATAAGAGTGATTCAAGGGGAAGTTGCACGATTGAAGGAGGCACTGGCTAACCAAGGTGACAGCTACATGTTACTATGTTTTTTATGTGTTGTTGCAGCGATTTCCTACATGTTTAAGTAGGCTTATTAAGTTGCTAAGTGTTATGCGGCTATGTTCTTTTATCTTACAACATTTGTGTTATGGTAGAACCGGTATGGTTAGTTGCTATTTTAGGTAAAGACAATGGTTAACGATTGTATGGTATGACTTGGTATTGCTTGCGGTTGTCGTTTGGTTATTTGCTTGTTTCGGTTATTGTGTTATCGATTGAATGGAAGAACTTGGAATGGTTTGCTTTTGGTTGTTGTTTGGACATTGATTAGGGCTATGGAAGGACAGATGCGAGGTGAAAGGGTATCTTCGAGCAAGGTAACATTAATGATTCCTTGTACTTCTTGTTAAATACTTAATGTTTTCTTGTAGTTGCTAACGTTAACGTTTTTCTTTTTCCCAAGGGTCCTATATGCCTGTCCTAAATATGATGGGACAACAACGCGGACAAGGCTTTCTATACGCATGGTTGACAAGGTATTTCATCTCTTTTCTTTTCCGTTTTATGAATGAAAGCTAGTTGTTCATTAATGTGTGTTTGGTGCAGAGTTAGGTTAGTTTAGGTTATGTTAAAGACTGCCTTTCGTTTCAGATATCATATCAAGTAATGGTAGTTTAAGTTTTATGGTTGAACATTTAATGCATTCCTTTTGATGGATAGAAAACTTTAACACTTAACCTATTATAAAACCGTAAAACTCTAAACAGTCTTAAAAAACTTAAAACACTAAAAATGCTTAACACGCTACAATCTTCTTAAACCTAACTCTCGAACCATATGGACTCTCCAAACCCATTTGGTAATTCTCAAGGGTTTCAAGAGGACTATCTTTTCTCCTTTTTACCGCCAATAGATGTAGGATCACCACAGGTGCCCAGGTTTAGTCACGCCGAAGAGCCAACAGTTGTAGCTGAAGACCGCAAAGTCACACCGAGGAGGCAGTGGACACCAACAGAAGACCTTGTCCTCATCTCTGCTTGGTTGAACACCAGCAAGGACCCCATCGTGGGTAATGACCAGAAATCTGGTGCCTTCTGGTCACGCATCAAGGCCACATTCAACTCGAGCCCGAAGCTGAAAGAGTATCCAGATAGAGAGGGGACCCATTGCAAGCAGAGGTGGAGCAGGATGAACAACCAAGTGTGTAAGTTTGTTGGCTGCTATGACACTGCGGTTAAAGAGCAATCATCCGGCCTAAACGACAACAACGTGATGAAAGCTGCACACCAGATCTTCCTCAACGATCACGGCTTCAAGTTTTAACTGGAGCATGCTTGGAGGGAACTTCGTCATGATCAAAAGTGGACTTCGGCGACCACGGTAAGAGATGCTGAAAGGGTTAAAGGCTGTGGCATCATACGATCTTTGGTTTTAGCATGCCTTTTTTGGACCTCCAGGTACTTTAAACGATATCAATGTCTTAGATCGCTCACATGTTTTTTATGACATCTTACATGGTAAAGCTCCGAAAGTAAAGTTCTCTGTCAACGGTCACAACTATCGTCTACCATATTACCTCACGGACGTTATATATCCAAAATGGGCAACATTTGTCAAGTCTATTCCTCTTCCCCAAAGTGGAAAAGATATATTATTTGCTACATGCCAAGAATCTGTACGGAAATATGTCGAAAGAGCTTTCGGAGTCTTGCAAGCCCGGTTTGCTATTGTCAAAAATTCGGCCCTTATGTGGGATAAAGAGAAGATAGAAAAGATTATGAGAGCATGCATCATATTACACAATATGATAGTAGAAGACAAACGACCTACTAACATTCAACATAATCTATCTGAATTCGAACAAGGTGAAGGAAAAAGAACTTCACATGTCGATATGGGTTATTCAACAGAAATGGCATCGAATCTGGGCAATTTGATCGGCAATCATATTCAAGTTCGAGATATCGAAATTCATGATCAATTGAAGGAAGATTTAGTAAAATATATTTGGCATAAATTTGGAGGAACCATACTTTAAAATTAAGTTTGTATGTTTTTTTCATAATTTTAATAATGTGTATTTCAATTAATCATGTATTCCTATATTTTATGTCATATAATTTATGTAATTTTATTTTTGAATTTATTAAATTATTGTTTTAAAAAAATCGAAATATTAATATTTTATTTAAAACAACCTCTAAATTAGAGATCAGGGATGGAGGGGTACAAAACATGGAGTTCTTCCCAACTAAAAAAAATGAATAACAAAATTAAAATATGCTAAAAGACCCAAAAGAGGATATCAGCATTGGAGATGTTCTTATTCTGAGATTTACTAGGCATTTATCTTTATCAGGATTTATTCATATCTCTATAAGGGAGATGTTTTTCACTTTTTATGGGTTTATTTCTTACTAGGTTTGTTTGTATCCACCGGTGAATTCGTGTTTACCTTTTCGTGGGATTATCATTACCCTTGTATAGGTTTTATCTGTGGTTATTAAGTGGGATATGTTTATATTATTTGATGGGTCCATTTTACTTTGATCTTTTTTTAATAATCTACAAAAAAAATTATATTAATTATTCTGTTATATTTTTTGGGCGATTTCAATAACCGCTCTTATCTCTTCAGAGATAACCGCTCTTATCTCTTCAGAAATTGCAGTTTTCCGACAGTTTTTCACCAAATTTTTCGAAATTCTGTCGGTTTCCGTCCGTTGGGAATCATCTCTGACGGTTTTTGTGTCTCATCTTCCCCGGATGAGTATCAAAATCCAAAACCCCCATGGATTCTCAACTATTTATACCCCACTCTTTCTTCAATTCTCACTTTTCTCAACCTTTTCATTCCATCGATCTTCTCCAAAATCATGAGTGATAACATCCGCCGAAACCTTCAAAACCTCACCCTCGGTGTTGAAGATGAAACAATTTCTCTTCCACCGGAAATCTGCAACCAAGCGGCAAGTATTAACCGCTTCACAATCATCGGGACTCCGGTAAATCCTCGCAAACAACCTCTTCGCCCCATGCTTGCTCATATGCCTCGTCTCTGGGGTTTGGGAAACTCGGTGATTGGAAGAATTGCAGGACCAAATCGATTTCAATTCGTGTTCCAGTCTGAGGAGGCAATGAATCTCACACTTCGCAGAGGGCCCTGGTCCTTTAATGAATGGATGCTGGTTCTTCAACGATGGTCACCAAACTTTCCAGAAGAGACTTTGAAATTCATTCCCTTCTGGATTCAAATCCGTGGGATCCCATTGCAGTTCCTGACTGAACCTATGATTCGTTTCGTTGCAAGGCATCTGGGTGATGTAATGGAAGTGGATTTTGATGCAAATTCTACAAGAGTCGACTTTTGTCAGAGTAAAGGTAAACTGGAATATAGAAAAACCCCTCCGCTTTCAACGCAATTTCCAGTTTGGTGTAGATGAGAATACTCTCTTGAAGTTCTGGTTTGAAAGGTTAAGGAATTTTTGCAACAAATGTGGTTTATTGACTCATGATGGTAAGGAATGTCCTTTGAATGATGAGGCTTCCGATGGTGATGAGCCTCATGATCAAAATGACAATGATGACCACAATGCTAACGATCAAGGGGCTTTGGAAGGAGGCTATGGGTATGCAGATTTGCAGATGGAGCCAATGTCTGCAGGATTCAACACAGAACATGAACCATACCATCCTGAGCATCCGGCCACGGATAATGATTTGGTTGTTGAAACTGTTCGCTACCTGCAAGCCAAAATGGCAAAAGGAAAGTTTAAAGAAGGTGATTTCATGGAGGTGTTTGCGGCTTACACAAGAGAAGAAGAATCTCCGGGAGGCTTTAACAAGAGGAAGAGACGTGCAGTGGAGGAAATACTTGAAGCACCGTTCCAGTCTCGTTGCCACAGGATGGTCCTGAGTCCTGCGAGCAAAAGACTAAGTTACAATGAGTCGCAGGGCTCTTGTTCTGCTTCTTTCCCGACAGACAGAGGCGCGGGGGGCCCGGTACCCCCATTGTTTCCTCCATGAGAGTCATCTCCTGGAACTGTCGGGGTCTTGGACCTGAGGGATCGCCGACTGAACACAGGCTAAAAGATCTTTGTAAAACTTATAAGCCTGACATTCTATTTTTAGTTGAAACTCTACATAAGTGTGATGTACTTAGGGATATGTGTGTCTATCTAAAGTTTGACTATGTATTTACCATTCCTCCATTAGGGAGGAGTGGAGGTTTGGCTTTATTTTGGAATTAAGGATGTCGATATTATAAGACATCATAGTGATGAAAGACTCATTGATGTTGATGTAAAATATAATGGTATGTCTTTCTATTTGTCTTGTGTCTATGGTCATCCAAACCAAAGACATAGAAATGATTTGTGGGAAAGATTACAAGATATTAATCGATCAAGACAAGGCCCTTGGATGCTCATTGGTGACTTCAATGAAATATTGTCAAATGAAGAGAAAGATGGAGGTCCTCTAAGAGATGATAAAAGCTTTCAAGATTTTCGCAAACTCTTTAGCAATTGTGATTTATCTGACCTTCGAAGCAAAGGAAATCGTTTTTCCTGGATTGGAAAAAGGCACACTCATACGGTCAAATGCTGCCTTGATAGAGTAGTAGTCAACACTGAATGGATGGTATCTTACCCTGCTTCTGAGACTACTTTCTTAGGCTTATATGGATCAGATCATCGTCCCACAGTCACTACGATTGCATACACGGAACAATCTTCAAAGAGAATGTTCAGATTTGACAAAAGATTGCTCCAAGTTGAGGATTTCAAAGACTATGTTAGAAGAGGCTGGAACTCGCCTAACTTGAATCATGTTCCAAGGATATCAGATAGAATCCGTGACTGTCGCAAATCCATGGCACAATGTCGACGAAAATCTCGTTTAAACTCTGCTAAAAAGATCGAAGGTTTGCAGATAGAACTAGAATTTGCTCTAGCTGACTCGAGAACTCCATATGACGATATTGCTCAAATCCAAAAAGAACTCGCACAAGCTTACAATGATGAGGAAACATATTGGAAAATTAAAAGTCGAAATACATGGTTGACTCAAGGTGACCGTAATACCAAATTCTACCAAGCTGTAACCAAAACGAGATATTCCAAAAACAAAATCATGTCGATTATTGATGATCAAGGACAGCTATACAGAGGAGATGTAGAAATTGGTAAACATGCGGAAGAGTTCTTTACAAAAGTCTACAAAAGCAACTCAAGTCCATGCCAAAACAATATTTTCTCTAACTTCCAAAAGACAGTTTCCGATATTGTTAATGAAAAACTAACAAGGGATGTTTCAGAAAGAGAAATCAAGGATGCAATCAATTCAATCGGAGCGGACAAAACACCTGGACCAGATGGGCTTACTGCACGTTTCTATCAATCTTGTTGGGACATTGTGGGTAAAGATGTAATCACAGAGATTAAGGATTTCTTTGAAACGGCTCACATGAAAAGAGGAATTAATCACACAAACATTTGTATGATTCCCAAAATAGATAAACCTCTTACCCTCTCTGATTACAGACCAATTGGTTTATGTAACGTTCTCTACAAAATTATTTCAAAGATCTTAGTCAATCGACTTAAAGAGTTCCTAAGTTCCATCGTCTCTGAAGCTCAAGCTGCGTTTATACCGGGTCGTATGATAACTGATAATATATTGATTGCACATGAGCTGATGCATTCCCTGCAATCCAGAAAGAGAGTCTCCAAGACTTACATGGCAATAAAAACTGATATCACAAAGGCATACGACCGCATTGAATGGAACTTTTTGGAAAAAACATTGCAAGCATTTGGGTTCGATGAACAATGGATAAAATGGATAATGGCAACAGTGACCTCAGTAGAAAACTCTGTTCTCATCAATGGAAACCCACAAGGAAGAATAACGCCAGAGAGAGGTTTGAGACAAGGTGACCCTTTGTCTCCATACCTTTACATCCTTTGTGCAGATGTTCTTAGTCACATGATTCAGGAGCAAGAAAAATCGGGCAAAATCAGAGGAATTAAAATAGGAAATGGGGTGCCTGCAATTTCCCATCTATTATTTGCTGATGATTCATTATTCTTTTGCCAAGCAAATAATAGAAACTGTAAAGCTCTACATGATATTTTCCGAGTCTATGAAGCTTGGTCTGGACAACAGATAAATGCTTCAAAATCGACAATAACTTTTGGTTCAAGGATCCCAGGAGACTTACAAGAAAGATTGAAACGCTTACTTGGAATTGATAACCATGGGGGAGGTGGAAAATATCTTGGCCTTCCAGAACAATTCGGAAGAAAAAAGAAGGAAATGTTTTCGTTTATTATCGATAAAGTGAGACTACGCACTTCAAGCTGGAGTGCAAAATTCTTATCACAAGCTGATAAAGAGATCTTGATCAAATCAGTGGGTGTTTCAATGCCTGTGTTCTCGATGTCATGTTTTAAGCTACCAGTACATATAACAGATGAAATAAACACTCTCCTCATGCGTTTCTGGTGGGAAAAGGGAGATCAACAAAAAAAGGAATCCCATGGGTAGCTTGAAAACGTCTGCAATTTTCAAAGAGGAATGGTGGTATTGGCTTCAAAGACTTAACCCTCTTCAATGATGCACTTTTAGCTAAACAAGCTTGGAGGCTACTAAAGTTCCCAAATTCGCTTTTTGCAAGATTGATGAAGGCCCGTTACTACAGAAATACTGATATACTCAAGGCTAAAAACAGAGCTAACCAATCATATGGATGGAAATCAATTGTCCAAGGATTGGAATTGCTTAAGAAAGGAGTAAAACATATAATTGGAAATGGGGAAATCAGTGTACAAGATGATAATTGGTTGTTGTCTCCTCACCCAAGGCCAGCGAGATTGATCCAAAATGATGACAAACTTATGGTTAGTGATCTTATCACTACTATAAACAATAGGAGATTTTGGAATAATGAGAAGATTGAGGAAATGATTGTGGAAGAAGATCGTGATTTGATTAAGAACACATATTTACCACATTGTGGTAAACCAGACCGGGTTGTTTGGAGTCTGGAAACGACAGGAGATTACTCAGTTAAGAGTGCATATTGGTTTGCGTTTAATCAGGCAAGACAACAAAATGAGGCTATTATGATCCCTCATGGAGATCCAAATTTAAAATCAGAATTGTGGAAATTACCCATCACTCCAAAACTCAAGCATTTCCTATGGAGAATATCTTCTCAAGCTATTGCAGTGGCTAGTAGATTAAATACAAGAGGAATTATAATGGACAATACCTGTCAACGTTGTTGCTCAGCACCAGAAACAATCATCCATACTTTCTTCACATGCCCGATTTCTCAAACGATATGGAGACTATCAAATACTCCTTGGACACCTTTTGTAACACATAATGACTCTGTAGATGATCTTCTACGCAGTATACTTGATTCACATGCTAACTCTTCCATGTCTGCTTCTCAAAAACTGATGCCATTTTAGATTTTATGGAGAATTTGGAAATCTAGATGTAACCTAATATTTCGAAAGATCAGAGTATGTCCATACCGAGTTGTTAAAGATGCGGAAGTGGATATTGCTCAATGGATATCTGCAAATAATGAGGTTTCAAATCAAATACATAGAAAGACTGCTCCAGAAAATTCAACCAAAACTTGGGAAAGTCCAGATCAAGGAATGCAAAAATGTAACTTTGATGCTAGTTTTCACTCGGGTAATAACTATTCTTCTGCTGGATGGATTGTCCGTAACAGTCAAGGAATACCATCTCTATGGGGTTCAGCAATTATTCAACCAACGACATCATCTCTTGAAGCAGAAGCAAAGGCTTTGTTAATGGCAATGCAACAAACTTGGAGCGCAGGAATTTCAAACATCTATTTTGAAGGAGATTGCAAAATACTTATAGACGTCCTTTGGAGAAAATCGGAAAATATTTTTATTGAAAACATATGTTCTGATATTCTCTTCTGGAAACAAAAATTTACAAAATGCATCTTTCTTTTTACTTCAAGAAATCATAATAATCCTGCTCATTTGTTAGCAAAATATGGACCACCTAATTGTCTTTTCTATTCAGATAAATTGTATCCACCATTATGGTTATCTCATGCTGTATTTGCTGATTGTAATCTTTTTCATAATTAATAAAATTTGATTTGCGGAAAAAAAAAATGTATGGGGAAAGAAAGGGAAAAAAAATCATAGAGAGCGATTCAGCATGCATCATATTTTGAACAAAAACATAGACAATATAATAAGTTAATAACCTATTTTGATTTTACATTACAGCGACCAAAGAGTAAAGAATAACAAAAATTAATACAAAAAGAAAACAAAAATCTCATCCAAGAAGAAGAAAAAGAAGAAAAAGACAGCTTCAATGGAATCAATCATTTGTAACTCCAGAGACTATCTCCTTCATGATTCTCCGGCGAATCATCCATCGTCGGATTTGTCATTCTCGGCGGACTCATCAGCATCCCTTCCGCCATCTCCGTCAACAAACTCGGCATATTCAGCATCGCTTCCTCGTCCATAAACTCCAACGAACAAGATAATAAAGCTTCTTCCTCTTCCTCCTCCTCCTTCTTTCCGGGTCGACCCGAATTCTCTACCCGCTCAGCTCCACCCGGATCCGGCTGCTTCATCTCCGCGGCTCTCGCAGCGGCAGCTCTTATATCGGCGGCAGAGTTCGAAGCCGGAGCCACGTAAGTCGAAGCCAAACCGGGAAAGTTCAAAACGGCGTCGGAGCCTTTAAGAGCTAACGCCGCCACGTCGTAAGCGGCGGCAGCCATCTCCGGCACCGGATAAGTCCCGAGCCAAATACGTGTCGTTTTACGCGGCTCTCGAATCTCCGATACCCATTTTCCGTTTCTTAGACGAATTCCCCTGAAAAATGAGTGCCGGCCGGATAATCCAGTCGTTGTTCTCCTCGCCGGAGATACACCGGAGGTGAGTGATGGTCTCGGTGAAGAAGATGAGCATGGTGAGGATTGAGGAGACTGATCATAGGGTTTAGAAGGTAATGCGATTGAAGCTACACGAAACGTCGTCGTTTGTTGATTCCCGGTGGTCGGAGAATTAGTGTTCGACATAAAAATTATTTGTGTGATAGCTAAATTGATGTAAAAAATGTTTCTGTGTTCTGTTTTTGTATCAATGTGTGTTTGTGTATTTATATGTTCTTGCAGGTGATAGTAAACCGTGGGAAACTCGCAAGAACCTCCGCTTTTTTTTGTTGAATGTTTATAGCTGTTACACATAAATACACTTTGATTATTATTTATTATAATTTTCACAAGATTATTTGTTTATAATGGTTCAATAAAAAACGATTATTTGTTTATTATCATCGTATAAAGAGAATTATTTGCAGTTTTCCTCTGACCTTATTCCTCATTTTATTGTACTTAAATTTTGTTTTTTAACTAGTACTAGTATTAGTTTAAGAATTTGTATGCTCGTTGCTTAAAATGTCAACCATGATTTGCCAATTAAAATTAGAATTGTGAACCCCATGTAGAGACAGCCACTTAAAATGACCAAATCGCCAACTAAAACACTTCTTGATTTGATTTTTACCACTTAAGCAGTAATTTATTGTAACAATAAAAAAAACATATAAACAATAGCTTCTTATAGTGGCTGACTTCTGGATAATCTATTCAGCCAAACGAAAAAAAGGTTATACAAACAATTCAAATATATTTTAAGGTTATACAAAACAATTCAAATATACTTCTTTTTTTTTTTTACTTTAAGGTTATACAAACAATTCAAATATATTTTAAGGTTATAAAGTTATAGTGAACCAGTAGACAATTGATGAGGGACTGAAACATCATTTCGCGATACGAATGAGCAAAAACATTTGTGGTATGTATATATATATATATACTCTCAATGGGTGTGGTATACAATAGGAAAAAGTAGGAAAAAATTTATAAATATTTTCGAAAACCATAGCTTTTTCTCTTTTCGAAACCATAACATACAATGATATACAAAAGGTATTTATATATTCTTTTGAATTTTTTTTGTGGGTTCATAAAAATACTAATAATAGTCGATAAAATATTGTAAATGAATGTTGCCGGAGCAAACACATGTCATTATTCTAAGCGTAAAGAAATTGTATTTAAATCCAGTATTACATAATTTGGAAGTAATTGACCAATCCAGTATTAAATAATTTGGAAGAAATTGAACAAATCAGAACTTTTTGTAGTTGGAACATAGTGAATTAGTGATGATACACTTCCGTATCAAACTCCACTTAATGAGTTGTACCAAAAGGTATTTATTTCCACCTTTGCCAACGATTTTAAAACTAGCCAAACGCGAGGCTGCGGATAAAACACGTACTCTGCGCGATTTTCTTTATTTTAAAACAAAATTAAACTAATCATAAATAATCATCATCCTTTTTCTCTTACAGAAATTAATTTAATGAAATAATTAATGTGAACCAAAAAGGCAACAAAAAAAGAGAGTTAAAAGTCAAAGATATACTTGTATTAATGGGGTAATGGCGAGCACTTAAGGAAGCCAGCCAACACATTGGTCAGACGACGAGTTTATAAGAATGAATGTCCCACACGATGAGATTCACGCTAGGACTCTTTGATAGGCTTCTTTTCATATTTTATTGTTTCATAATTACAGCCCACATAATCACTAAATATGAAATGAGATAGTCATCGGTGTTAGATATAACTAAAGAGTGGATGCATAGATATTTTTGTTCAATATTGACATTATGGGTTGACATGGATTAGATGCACTGGAATTTTAAGATATCTGGATTTTGATTTATGAGATCTGAAATTTATTATCTGAACTGGATATATATACATCCGCAAATATCCGGATCTGAGAACTTCAAATATCCTAGTTCATGGATTGGATATTAGATTGAACCATGAATTTATATATTTTGCCAACTACAAGACATATTTTGTTTTTTAGTAGTTATGTTACATTTCATTTTTAACAAAGTAGAAAAATTATTAATTATTCATGTGTCTAATTTATCAGTCGTGGAAAAAATTACCTAATTTTACTATTTCATACTCGTATATTCCATGTTTCGTTTAATTTAAAGATCAGATGTTTAGTCCATTTTAGTAGTTTTGTGGTTGTTTTTTGTTGTTGTCAAGTTGCTTTTAATTTGTTTGTTTGGCTGTGGTTACTTTGGTAGAAGTTTAGATTTCAATATGCAAGAAAAAGAACAAACTATCAGTCGTCGACTTACATATTTTTAGAATTTGCCAAACTAAACTATTTTTAGTAAGATTAAACCGTTTGTCACCGTCAAACGTTTAGATAGTCAACATAAACAAACTAAACATCTAATTTTTTGGTCAAATCCTTTTGTTTATAAGAAATTATATATATAAACCATGTTTAGGTTTAACACAAAATCCTTTGAGAAATTCTTATACTCTTTGACATGTTTTATTGGAACATCAGACATGTTTTCTCTCTTTAACATTTTTTAATAATTACCACATTAGTTTAATAAAAAATGATTAAGGAAAGGCTAGAGAAAATATTCCAACCAATAAAAAATAGTTAAACCGATCTAACTCCTAAACCCAAAGCCAAATAAATAAACGAACCTAGTTTTTCAAAAGATTAAAAATGCTCAGTATATATGCATAACGCATTCGTAGGATACACACAATTGTTAGTGTCAAATCTCACCATAAGATTCGCCCTATTAAAGCTCAAAATACAAAACGAAATAAATCACCAAAGGAGGCGAATTCATTGTATTCATCAACAAATCCCAATAACACATATTTCTCATTCGTTTGTTCAGAAAAGCTTAGCTCCAATTTACATTTTATTTAATCTGGTTCATGAACCGAATCTTGCATCCACAACAATTATAATTAGGCTATATGTATAATCTAATATAAAGCATATGTAGAGATCTTACGACTAGTTAGATATTAAAAGGGCAGGCCCCTACCACAACAGAACCAATTGTACCAACGTTAATATAAGTCACGTTTCACCATACGAACAACTTCCGCCCCTTTAGCTCACTTATGTTTCCTCTTTCTTGTTTCTTTGCTCTTCGATTTGACTAATTGCTTTACATGTTCTTGTTTTGTTCCTATCGTGTTTGTTGTCCATCACGTGCTAACTTCCTGTGCTATGAAATTTGTCTTAAAAGACCCACAAAACGTTTGGTTAACAAACTTTATAATAGAAATGCACTATTCTGCCAATTTTTACGATTTAATATGTTTGAATTTTTGATTTTTTTTTTGTTTTTTTCTTAGATAAACTAAATTTTAGAAATAAATATATCCTCAATCGGAGATATACATAATAACAAGAGCTAAGCGGTGAACTACTCATGGATAATAAATTAATTAAGTAAGTACCAACCATAATTTAGAAATAAAGTAAATACAATTGACTAAATGCATTGTGTCCAAAAGTGCCCCTATGTCAAACAAAGATAGCGTCTATATCAGCATTAAATGCTCTTACCTTTTGAGGAGACAGAAACTAAAAAAATACAATTGATATCATATAAAGATGTTGTACCACCCTACCTCTTATTCTCATCCGTTCGTTAATAAAGAAAAAATTCGATTGAATTATCTGTAAAATTATTTATCTCAGTTAACGTAAAATATATCTGATTAGATTATCTGTAAAATTTGGATCAAAGAAACTTGAGTGTAGAGGTAGTTCCAACCAAAAAACTGATGCATTAATCTCGGAGTGAATATGGGAAACATACTTCAGCAATAGTTTTTGTTTGTTTTATTGGGTGAAGTTGTTGTGGTATTAGAGGATGACTCATATAATGCTGATTTAACAGGTAACACATGTGGAGTTCAGACTTGTCACCAACTCGGAGGGGTGAAGACCAACGGGAAGGTGAATTGTAGTAGTATTGTTGAATGTGAAACATGAATAAGTTAGTATTCAATCAAGTAGAGTTAACGTTTATGTTAGTTATGTATTAATTGAGTTATTGTTATCTGACATATTTTTGTTTGTTATCAGGTAAATTTATTACAGAGTCAACCTCTACCAACATATACCATAATGTGGAACGATTGGGTTAGTGAGTATAGTTGGGTCTAAGTGACATGACTTAGAGCCCGCTGTCCTAAAATCCATTCTATTATTTTTGTTAAACAGATAATATATTGTTTTGACAAAAAAACTCTTATTTTGTTAACAGATAATATGGTTGTCCGGCTAATGACGAATATATGCTCTAATAGTCCAGTTATGTCGAGTGCAGATGCGGCTTGGAAGATTGAATATGGGAAACATACTTCAGCAATAGAAGGTAATAGATTTTGTTGTTTTATTATGTGAAGTTGTTGTGGTATTAGAGGATGACTCATATAATGCTGATTGAACAGGTAACATGTGGAGTTCAGGCTTGTCACCAACTTGGAGGGGTGAAGAACAACAGGAAGGTGAGTTGTAGTAGTATTGTTGAATGTAAAATAGGAATAAGTTAGCATACAATCAAGTGGAGTTAACGTGTATGTTAGTTATGTGTTAATTGAGTTATCAGCTATATATTGTTATCTGATATATTTTTGTTTGTTATCAGGTAAATCTATTACAGAGTCAACCTCTACCAACATATACCATAATGTGGAACGATTGGATTAGTGAGTATAGTTGGGTCTAAGTGACATGACTTAGAGTCTGCTGCCCTAAAATCCATTCTATTATTTGTGTTAAACAGATAATATGTTGTTTTGACAAAAAAAAAATCTCTTATTTTGTTGACAGATAATATGGTTATCTGGTTAATGATGAATATAAGCTCTAATAGTCCAGTTATGTCGAGTACAGATGCGGCTTGGAAGAGTGAGAGTCAATACATTGGACCCATTAGTGATTGCTACATATGTGTTACAAATCCATTATCAATTAACTCGGTTATCAGCTAAACAAAGCTAACTAATCATGCTATAAGCAATACACTGTCACAGCTCTATAAGGTTTTAGTAGTTGCTTCGGTTATCAGGTAATCACATAACAATATTTATCTTCTTTGTGGTCGAATAGTCTTTTGTCCATAGGATAGTTGACAGATTTCCTCTTATTCGTCATGTTCACCGGAAATTCCCACAATTTAAACCGGTAACTATCTTGAACTCGCAAAAAAGAATCTGATGGGATAACCAACAAATAAGATCCATATTTCATTATTTCTCTTCACTTCTAGTTGTCAAGACAATAAGAACAACCCAAAAGTTCCAGACCACGCCGGCATAGATGGAATGTCGATCAATTTACCGGCGATTGACGGATGAAATTGACCTCATATTCTTCCAAAGCGGATATAAGATCTTGTATAATGCTAAATTCTTATATGGAAATAACCCCCTGGCCTCAAGGTTCAGCTCCGACGACTATAATCTTCTTTGTAACTTATTATCTAACATCTGCAAATTAAATGCCACTAACCCAAAAAAAATTAGGGAAATTGAAACAGAACTCATCTTTACCTTCTTTGCGAATGAAAACTTTGAATTTCTTCAACAAAAACGATAACATGCACTAGATTAGTGATCGCTGGCGATAACAAAATTTGGAGACGGTTTTTGAGTTGGAGAGATAACCGATAACAAATATCGGTTTTAAATACAAACTCTGGTCTCTTCTTTTTTTTCCTTCCTTCCAAAATAATTATAAAAATATTTAAATAAAATTTTTTAAAAACTTGGATACTGTTGTCGGGATTACTGGCACATGCTATCTAGGGATCCATCTATTTTTTTCAGCTCATTTTTACAGCAAACTCAATAAACTCAATGTAGGGATTCAATTGTCTTTTTATTGTGAACAGAACCATAGCACAGTACAGAATTTTCATGGCTTAATTTCCAAAGTTTCTGTTGGCAGATTGTGCAATTACTCTAATAGCAAAGCAAACTCTCGGCGATTTCAACTTCTTCTCCAAAAGCAATTCTTCTCCATTTTTCTATTGTTTTCGGCCGATGCCGTCGGTTGGCTGTTTGCTTTCCTTAGTTTATTCAAATTAAGTTGATCGTGTCAATTCCATCGCCTCGTCGACACAAACCCATCCGAGATCCATCAACACATCTGATCCGTTTGTGGTTCTCTCTGACAATTCTTCTCGGTCTCTTTCTTCGAGAGAATGCTCTTCCGACCATAATCGGCGAAAGTCCAGAAACAATAGTGCTGGTTTCATTATGTGGGAATTTCTTCATGCAGTTTTACTTTTCTTCAACAAATATATCGTTTCATCTTTGAAAACTTTTATCTCTCCACCATATAATTTAGTTATGTTTATCCAAACATTTGAAAAGTTCAAAAATTTCTGAATTTGGATTATCCAATTTATCTGGGGATGTTCATTAGAACATTGACTTTGAAAAGTATTTTGGAAAAAAGTCTAGAAGCCATTAATGACTTTAGTTAAGGCATAAAGAATGATAGGATGTAAGTATTACAACAAATTAGAGAAAAAAATAATGTTTAAAGATTTGATGGGTATTGATTAGAACAAGCGAATATTGCATATCTTATCGAGTTTTAGAAAACATGTTCTAGATTCATCACCAACAAAATTTAATGTTATCTTATTAATCAAAATAATGTCAAGTACATTTTGAAGTTTTATCAGCAAGATGATAACCAATAAAAAGTATATAAAGGAGGCAGACATAACAGATTTTATCTATTATCGTATAAGACTACTTTCAATAAAATAGCATGATTACTCTATATTTTTTCATCGAAATTGTTTTAATTTTTTTTATTTGCGTTAACGGTTGTATTGAAAATATTTCTGAATCTTGTAAATTCGTTATGATAACAAAAAAATATCTTCAATCATTTATTTATGTTGAAAATCACTAAATAAATACTATATAACAATTTTTTTTAATGATATACAGCTGTGTAACGGTATAATTAAGATTCAAATCATCATCCAACCACCCATTTTAAACGTTTGTTATAACTTATAACCATAGTTTTAAAAGTTATCTTCAAACACTCCTTCCAACCTAAGAGTTTGCGCTACCAATCAGAGCCATAGGAGGAAAGTCTAATCTCATGAATTTACTTGGTGATTATGGATTACAGCAATGCTTATAAAGAGATTACTTGATGATCTTCGTGAAAAATAAATGGCTATGCTATGAAAATTGAAAGAAATGAATGTCAAAACTCCATTGTAGCCATTAACGTGATCCTGGCACCCAAATGAAATCTAAACCAATCAAAATGTCAATACTTTCACAAAAAACGATTGAAACAAATTTATTTTCAAAAAAGATCTATCGAAAAGAAATCTCAATTCGATCATCTCTCTGTTTCATCCAATGAAATTCCTTCCGAATCCAGTAACCTTCCCCTTCACTTATAAACCACTCGATTACAAACCTTTGAGACCCATCAAAGTCTCCGTCCAGACTCCTCCGCCGGACTTCGACTTCCGCAACGAGGTCGCGTCAGACTCACGCGCCGCAATCGCCAGAACTTTCCCGGAGCTGCTCGACCTCGCCGATAACGGGACACTGATCCTGGTCCAGAAGCAGAGTTTCGGCCCAACTCCGGCCTGGCGCAAGGAGTTCGTCGAGCCGGAGTCGATTTGGCTCGTTGGCACTTCCCATATCTCGCCGGAGTCTGCCTCCGACGTTGAACGCGTCGTTCGCACTGTGAAGCCAGATAATGTCGCCGTCGAGCTCTGTCGCAGCAGGAAAGTCGATTTCTTTTTCCAAAGTTTGAGGCTTTTGTCACCATCAGAGATTCAGGGTTCTGAAATCGATGATTTTGCGATGCTTTTGGGGAAATTTGGATAGGTTTAGATTAGGGTTACGAGATAACCGAATGAAAGTGATGATTTACGAACGGTTTTGAGGAAATTGGATTAGATTTGACACAATTTTGAGACCTCATTGTCTTGTGTTATGTGATGAGAGTAGTGGAAAACAGAGTATTTAACAGTAATACATTGCAGAGCTGGGATTATGTACACAGTACACTGATAGTGTCGGAGAAGATTTAGGGTTATGAAATAGATGATTTTTTGATGCTTTGGGGAAATTTGGATAGGTTTAGATTAGGGCTACGAGAAACCGAGTGAAAGTGATGATTTTTACGAACGGTTTTGAGGAAATTGGATTAGATTTGGCACAATTATGAGACCTCAATTCATTGTCTTGTGATATGTGATGAACAGAGTATCTGACAGTAACACATTGCAGAGCTGGGATTATGTACACTTCAAGTGTCGGAGAAGATGACCAAAACCTAAAATCCGGAGTGTTGTCATTGACCGGAACAGGCTTTCTCGGTGCTGTTGGCCGGAGCTTAGATTTGGGTAAACTAATCAAAGCTTCACTCTTTCTCTCTCTGTTACTTCTTCTTTGATGTGTGTGTGATGATTGATCATAGGAGGCCAAACTGCTTTGGCCTTGCGACTTCTCTTGGCGGTTTTCTCTTCCAAGTTATCTTCTGTTGCTGACCGCCCTTTCGGCGATGAGGTATTCTTGATAACCCCACAAGATTTCAAGGCTAGTTTCTTGAACTTTGTGAGACTGTTCTTGATCAAACTATGCTTGATGTTTTGGTCGACAGTTTCGTGCTGCTCGGATAGCGTCTGAGGAAGTTGGTGCACAGCTGGTTCTTGGAGACAGACCAATCGAAATAACAGTAGTCCTACGATGATCTTTATAACCAAAATCATTCGGATATGTAAAAAAAGCAATGGAACTTAGCTCTGATAACGTTGCAGCTTCAAAGGGCGTGGAACTCGTTGAAATGGGGAGAGAAGCTTAATCTGGTGATGGCTGTGACTCGAGCAATCACATCGTCCTCCGGTATATCTGCAGCAGAGCTTAAGGTTTTGTTCTCTATCCTAAACCGGTTTTTGCTTGATTTTTCGAGAAGCATTAGTTGTAATTTTTCGGTTGTATATTGCATTGCAACAGGAACAAGAGAGAGATGAAAGCAATGGAAGTCTGCAGCTTTACGAACGGCTAAGTTTCTCGTTCCCATCTCTCTTACTGCCACTGATACACGAAAGAGACACAGTAAGTATAAAAAACCAAACCGGACTGAACCAAAAATCCGAATGTTGATGCTTAGTATGGAGACTGCTAAAATGTGTTTGAGACTTTTTTGTTGATAATGATTTTGATGAGATAATGTTTTTGATTTGATTAGTATCTTGCTTGGTCGTTGAAGAGGAGTAAGGCGGTGAATGGGTGTAAAACAGTGGTGGGTGTGATAGGAAAAGGACACATGAACGGTGTGATCTATGCGTTGGTATCGGATTCTGGTGATCTCCGGTTTAGGGATTTGGTGGGAAGAAGAAATTCATCTGATGGTGGTACTACATCGAACGGTTGGGTTCAAATGGTTTTGAAGAGCCTCGCAAGAGATACAATTGTAGGGTTGTTGTTATGGGAGTTGTATGATCAGTATCTCAAGTTTGTGATGATGACCCAAAACGCTTCATGATTAAAAAAATTATAATCTAAGACGTTGTAAATCCAAAAAGTGTATAAAGAATCTTAAAAACGAGTACAGATATTTGATGCTTTCTTCTTCTAGACTTTTGTATAGTCAAGTACAAAAGTACTGTGTATATGTCTTTTTCTTTTAATTTTTTTTTGTATTGACATGTTGTATTAGTTTTAGTGTTTTTGACGCCAATATTTTGTTTTTAGCTACATAAAATTTACGTGTTACAAGATAGAGTTAGTATACACATTTCCAATATTTTATATTTGGTTAATTTGTGAAATATGCAAGTTTATTAACAAAATGTAGTTAGAGATTCATCATAACTCAATGTTTTTTTAATATGATAATGGATAAAAAAAATTCATAAATTTTTATAAAATTTCAATCATAAAAGTTTGTTTTTCTGTCTAATTTATTTTTTATTATTTTTTTCGTTTAAATTTTTTATCTATTACAGATTAGCAATATTACTATAAGAATAATTTTTTAATTGACAAATTTATCCATTTTATAAGAATATATGCTAAACGATTTTTCTTACACTACACCGTTTCATAAGAATTAACGGTAGTTTAGGACCACAATAAACGGCTTTCTTTATACAACATTGAAAATTTCTTTATAAATTTATCTTTATTAATAATTTGCAGAAATTGTATCTTCCGAAAATTAAAATTTATAAATTATTTGATATAAAAATATTAATTAATCTTTAGTCGACTACTGAATTAAAAGACTTCCACCGTTGTAGACTTCCACCATTAAAAGCTTAAACAAAAAACTTGCTTACATCACATCAGTTATTTGTGTTTATTTTTGTTAATTAAAGTCAAGCCAAAGGGTCAGCTTTAGACTTAATTTTTTTTTTGGTTGAAAAAGGTTAAATATCAGGAAAATAAAATAAATATATAAAGATATCTATCTGTTTCACTTTCATTATCTCGTGAGCCTCGAAGAAAGCAAAAAAATCTAAGAGCTTGTTCTAGGGTTTCGACTTTCGACGGCCGGTAAGGTTTTCAGCTGCTCGTTTATAGTTTTGGAGATCTTGAATTTCGATATCTGTTTTGTCAAATTAGTCTTTCTCTCTCTCTTTTCTTGTTCGCCAAATTACAAATCGGTATCTATTTTTTTCATTTTTCTTCTTCTTTGAGTTCTTGTTTGTTTCCTTATGATATTGTTCCGTTTGTTGTGAAATTTTATAGCTTCTCTTGCTTTTTTTTTTGGTTTGGTTTCTTTTATGATTGATGTCAGATCTGAGGTTTTTGCTAACTTTAGCTGCATTTCCTTTGATTATAATGAGATGTTATGTATTTGAGTTTGATTATAGCTAAAAATTTGAAATCTTAAAAGTAATCAAAATTTGATGTGGTTTGGTTTCTGGTACAAAACTTGAAGACAGTATTCAATTCAAACAAACACATAGGCTTGTTATTGCTTCTCTCTTGGAGTGTGTTCCAATTGATAATTCTGGTTAAATCTGTGCTCTTTTTGTGAATTCCTTGGGAAGTATCTTTTGTTGCTTATGTTGTGATGGATATGAGTTTGATTATAGCTATCGACTTGATATCCTGAAGTAAATTTTATCAAAAAATTTGCGTGGTTCGGTTTTCTGGTATGGTATACAACTTAGATTGATGAATAGATGAAGCCAGTAGTCAATTTAAACAAACACACATGGTTGTTATTGCTTCTCTCTTGGAGTGTGTTTCAGTTGTTCATTTTGGTGAAATCTATGCTCTGTTTTTGTGAATTTTCTTGTGAAGTATCTTCTGTTGCTTACGTTGTTATGTATTTGAGTTTCAGTATAGCTTTTAACTCGAAAATCTTGAAGTAAAATCTCATCCAAAATTTGAAGTGGTTCGGTTTCTGTTATATTCATGGTCTTTGATATTAATCTGAGGTACTCAACTTCTTAGATTGATGGATTCCTGAACACAGCAGTCAATTTAAACATATCCATATGCTTGTTTATTTTTGGTGAAAATCTGTTCTCTGTTAAAGTTGTGGACTCCTTGGGAAGTATCTTTTGTTGCTTAGGTTGTTGAGGGGAGCAATTTAATCGAGTTCTCATGTCTTCTGTGCAGGAAACATGAAGCCTGTCTTCTGTGGGAACTTCGAGTACGACGCTCGTGAGGGTGATCTTGAGCGGCTTTTCAGAAAATATGGAAGGGTTGAGAGGGTTGATATGAAAGCTGGTAAGTCCTTGGCTCTTTGGCTCTCTTAGTTTTCTGTTTTTTGTTTTCTTTTCTGTTAACTTGGATGAACAAAGAAGTCTCGTAAACCACTACAAATCCGATGAGCAAGCGAAAATCCAAAACTCCTCATTCTTAAAAATCCACTTATGCGCTCATTCCATGAAAATCTCTGGAGTACCATCGTCACCATCCTTTCAAAGTGTGGTCTCTGCACTCCGTATGCCCATCGATTCTTCAGTCATCTCTGTGGAGGCACTTGAAGCACACGGCATGAAGCTCAGCGATCCATACTTTAGAAGAGAAAAGAACAAGTAATTTTAGGGTAAAACCGCCATACTCAACATTTTCTTTGGCGCAGGATTTGTTTTATTCCTCGATCTTGGGATGCCCATTCTCCCACCATTGATGGACCATATGGAAAATCCATTTCCTGCCAAAAATTAAGAGTCAGCCACTCATCCGCAATGGCACCACCTTCTTCCCATTATCCTCGACTTAGTTGCATTTCATTCCCTCATGACTTTCCTACTCTTGGACATGCCTTTTTGGTAGAGTCATACCAACCTCCCCACCACAGAGGCATCAGGAACAAATGGAGAATGCACCACCTTTGTTTCCTGTTCACGATTCCGTCTCAATCACCCTCGTTTTCAGTTGTTCCTTGACATATTAATTCCATAATGCAAGGTCTGTAAACTGCTTCACTAGTCACTTATAGTTTGAAAGAGTTTCTAGGGAATGTTCGAAATTTATATGTCACAGTTGTATGTAAAAGGCTGTTTTTGATGCTGCCGATGGAAGGAGAACGGTCTTTCGTGTTGCGACGGGAGGTTATATCTTGGTTTAGTTTCTTGATTGTTCCTTCTGTTCTGATGTCTTCCTTTTGTTTCTTGTCTTCACAGGGTTTGCCTTTGTCTATATGGAAGACGAAAGGGATGCTGAAGATGCCATCCGAGCGCTTGATCGGTATGAGTTTGGGCGGAAAGGACGCAGACTCCGTGTTGAGTGGACAAAGGTAAGGAAATTGACTTATCATTTTTCAGAGTTACTATCGGAATAATATTCAATGATTGAATAATGGAAATTATAACTGTTGGTGTAGAATGAGCGTGGAGGTGCTGCAAGGTCAGGTGGAGGATCAAGAAGATCATCATCGGGGATGAGACCTTCCAAGACTCTGTTTGTGATCAACTTCGATGCACAGGGCACTAGGACTCGGGACTTGGAGAGACACTTTGAGCCGTATGGAAAAATCGTTAACGTTCGAATCAGAAGGAACTTTGCATTTATCCAATATGAGTCCCAAGAAGACGCCACCAGAGCACTGGATGCTACAAACTCGAGGTTTCTTTCTGTCTATTTTCACAACTCTCATAATGCTGGAGCTTCAAGTTCCCATCGTCTGATTACCTTTTTCTTTGTTGCAGTAAGCTGTTGGATAAGGTGATCTCAGTGGAGTATGCAATGAAAGATGATGATGCGAGAGGAAACGGATACAGTCCTGAAAGACGTCGTGATAGGTCACCTGACAGGAGAAGGCGATCACCGAGTCCTTACAGGAGAGAAAGAGGAAGTCCTGACTATGGCCGTGGTGCTAGTCCAGTTGCACACAGGAAGGAGAGGACTAGTCCTGAATATGGCAGAGGAAGACGCAGCCCGAGTCCTTACAAGAGAGCCAGGCTTAGCCCGGACTATAAGAGGGATGATCGCAGGAGGGAGAGGGTGTCTAGCCCTGATTACAAGAGGGATGACCGTAGGAGGGAGAAGTTGGCTAGCCCCAGAGAATGGAGCTGTGAGGAGCAGGAGTCCAAGAAACGGACATGGTGAGAGCAGGAGCCCTCCTCCATATGAGAAGAGGAGGGAGAGGTCGAGGTCAAGGTCAAAGTCAAGCCCTGAGAATGGTCAAGTTGAAAGCCCTGGACCGGTAATGGAAGAAGAATCCGGAAGAGGAGGATATGATGGTGCAGAAAGCCCGGTTCGCGAGAGGTAAAATCTCAAAACTATCTTTAGATTATCATTGATATCATATGCTTGACACATTCTGTGCTTTGAACTGGTGCAGCCACTCTCGTTCGCCTCCAGCTGAGGAATGATTGGACTTCTATGTGTGTCGGATTCACAAACAAACGATGTCTCTCTCGAAGTAGCTGTGTCTGAAGTCTTACGACTTATGTTCTGTTTTTTAAGTGTTATTTGTGTCTTTGTTAAAGTGCTACTGTAAACTTAACTATTGACTCATTTGAATTCGGTTATTGTAGTATTGGTTAAAATTGCACCTGACTTTGGTTTACTATATTTCAGTAGATGTTTTTTTATGAGCGCAGCTTTTGTTTAACATGTAGATGCAACAAAAGAGAGTCGACAGAATCAGAAGTTTTAAGCCATTATTGACGGTGGTTACATAGTTAATGTGCTAGGCCAATGTGGCACAGAACGAAGAAAAAGAGAAATTTAAAACATTTTTAGCGTCTAAATATAATAGTTTATATTTCTTTGTTCATGGCATTAGGTTTTGGGGTTTATTGAATGTACAGTATAATTTACATGCAAGATTAAATAACTTAACGTGGCATGTATTAGTTAACGAATAGAAACATGAGATTTAAGGGAATTGCCGATGGTTATATTAGATATGCACTTAGGAACCACTTTGATGAACATAACAAATATAAAGTGGTGATACTAATTTCACATATATTACGTCATGGATAGCTAAAAATGAGGATGAAAAAGAGGGAATCAAAAAAGTTAGGCAGAAACATCTACGAGGGAGAGTGAGTGCGAGAGTGGTTACTTATTAGGCTAAAACTTACTATAAAAAGTAAAGAAAAAGAGAGTGTCTCAATTCTCGAGACATGAGAGTCTAGAAACGCAACTCCCACATGCACATTGTTATCGATCACTAACAAAATTCAAGCAGTGAACGGAATCTAGTATTCTATTAACTCATATGGATCTTTTGATAGATTTGATAAAGACATCAACTCTTAGCTTGTTCTTCCCAATCAGTTCTAATGGTTATGAAACATGCAACAGTTAATATCATCAAATCATCCAAAATATTTTCAAAAAACTCCAATATAGAAGAAAATATTGAAAGTTGCGAAGTTTTATGGAATTCCAATTTGAAAACTAATCAGTAATGAAATGATTGATATAAATCTTTATTATTATTGTTGTTATTATTATTCTCATTTTTTTCCTAATTTTCAATGTGAAATTTTAGCATAAAATCAAAATTTAGTATCACAATTTATTAGCTTAAATAAAATTTATTAATGGTTTAAAGCACAGATTTCAGAGATAAGTTAGATTTATTGAGTGTCTCAATTCTTCCCACACATTATTATCGATCACTAACAAAACTCAAGCAGTGAACGCAATCTAGTATTCTATTAAATTATATGGATCTTTTGATAGAGACATCAATTCTTAGCTTGTTCTTCACAATCAGTTCTAATGGTTATGAAACATGCAACAGTTAATGTCACCAAATCATCCAAAATATTTTCAAGAAATTCCAATATAGAAGAAAATTTTGAAAGTTTCAAAGTTTTATGGAATTCCAATTTGAAAACGAATCAGTAATGAAGTGATTGGTCTAATTATTGTTATTATTATTATTATTATTATTATTATTATTATTACTATTATTATTATTATTATTATTATTATTATTATTATTATTATTATTATTATTCTTCTTCTTCTAGGATTTTTCTTCTAATTTTCTCGTGAAATTTTAATATTATATCAAAATTTAATATGATATCACAATTTGTCAACCTAAATAAAATTATTAATGGGTTAAACATGGATTTCAGTAGAAAATTAGATTTATTGATGGTTCAAATGCAGATTTTAGTTTAAAAATGAGCCAATAATAACCATCGTATCGAAGAGACATGGTAAGTTCTCATACCAAAAAACTAGAAAAAATAATATAATGTATTATAAGACACAAGCCTATAAATTTAACATGAGTCAACAAAAAAAAGGTGAAAGGGGACACTGTTTATACTGTATCTTTCTCTGCTTCAAATTGAATATTGATTAATCCCACTTTGCCGACTATTACATTGCATTGAGTATATATGATAAGAGTAAATACTAAATAAAAGAAATGGAATTATTAAAATGAGAAGTGTGATGTTAGGGGAATGTGGACCGTTGGATGTGCAAGCCGTCAAAAAGATGAATCCCCCTTGGCAAGTTCAGCTCCTATCTTGTTGCTTTTACTCCAACAAGCTTCCTACTTTTGGCTTTCCAAACTCTTTTTGTTTTCGGCTATAAAGAAAAACTTTTTTTTTCTCTTCTTTTATACTATATTATAAAATAAATTACGTTAGGAATCTATTGTAGTGATGATTATCTTAGTAAAAGGGACCTGTCATAGATTACCTGGTTTACAACTAATAGCATTTCATTAAATATATAGTTTGAGCTGGATTAGTGAAGTTCATGAAAATATGGAAAAAGGGGAACGAGAAGTTGATTACGATTTTATCTCCAAGAAACAATGAATGTAGTTGATATTCATTGACACGTCATGCATGATTGTACTAATATATGTTTTTGAATCATTTAAAAGTTGTAAACATAACCCTTTTCGCAAAAAAAAAAAGTTGTAAACATTGAAAATTTATCCAAACTGTAGTATACAGAGACAATGTTGATGGTTTTTTTTTTTCTTTGCAATAAAAAGTATTTATTTAATAAAGTATACATGCGATTTAGATACTCAACTTAGTCAAGGTTGAAATCTAAACAGATTTCGATGACTAATTTTTATAGTGTCTACTGTCTGCTATGTCAAAATTTGGTCAGATAGAAAACCAAATCACAAATATAATTGAGTTTGATCAAATATATATATATATATATATATTTCGTTTAAATTTCTAGTCCAAACTTATCTTTCTATTATATCGATATGAGACAAAAAAAATTATCCGTAATTAATTTGGTTCAATAATTTGGACCTTTGTTCTTCTTTTTTGTTTTACATTTTACCGGTATCATCATTTACTTTGTTTTTTTTCTTATATATATATATTAATACATTAATACATGTAGATATATATACATGTAGATATATATACATATATATATATATATATATATATATATATATGCAACACGTGTGATTCTTTAGTACAGAGCTTTTCAGCACAAAGAACTTTCGGAGAGAGATCTACCGAAAGCTGTATTATATATTTGACTCAAGGTACGTACTTCGTGGAATTCATCATAAAAAGAGCAGAAATAGGCAAAAATATATGTACATGTATTATTATTTTTTGTCAACATATGGAAAATGTATTTCGTAGTAACTAGTAGGAAAGAAGACAAGATATACAGGACAAAAAGGTACAGCAGAAAAAATTGCACGACGAGTGGCTATCGTCGACAAGATAAGTAGATAACCATGACCACTTCCCTTGCTTATTCCAAAAAATTAAATAAGATTCTAAAGTTTTTTTTAGTTATCCTTGAATATGATTGTACGTTTCATTTTTCAACCCCGATGAATATTAGTAGTGAAGCTTTTGTAGATTATCGTTGTAAAAATATTTTCCTCGACAACTAACACATTATTGAATTTTAATATGACTTGCGCTTTATAAAGATTGTCATTTTAAACCCATATTTTAATTTCATAAAAAGTGGGTCTTGTATTTTTTTTTGTTAAAAGATATAACATATAATTTGGTTTGAATGGTTTCGTATCTCCAAAATAATTTTTTGAATAAAGTTCTCATTTTAATTTAATTAGTTTAGTGTATTAATTACAGAGATTAATTGATCTAATGTTTTAATAAAGAGATTAGTAAAAATTTTAACAATTTTCTTAAATAAGATTGGATAATTGTAGAAACGACATTCTTTTATGAAATAGAGAAAGTATAAACTATTCCTCTGTTTCAAATTAAGTACTCCCTCTGTTCAGAATTATTTGATGTTTTAGAAGGTTTTTTTTGTTCAGAATTATTTGATATTCTCACTTTTCAATGCAAAATTTAATGAATTTTTATAGTTTTTGACTTTTTATATTCTGCAGATAGTCTTCTTATTGGTTGAATGATATTTAAATGAATTATAAATAATATTTTTAGTATAGGAAAAATAAAAATTAAATGAATTCTTAAACTGTATGCAAAAACCTTAAACATCAAATAATTCTGAACAGAGGGAGTATCATTTTGACAATTTTTATATGCATTAGAAAAAGATAAATGTGTAACTATATCTTTGTTTAACTATTGGAATTCTATATTATCTAATATTTTTATCAATTTAATTAAAAATAAAGCAATAAATTTGATTTTTTTTTCTTGAAATCATAAAATGATATATAGTAACAAAACATTATTCTATCACGACATTTAAATTGATATGTAGGATATTAAAGTTACAAACTTCGGTTAGATGAATATGACATGCAATTGACAAAGGGATTAGTCGTAAAAGAACATTATTAGTCCTTCTTAATATATACATGCACATTGTTCAATAATATAATGACATTTGGTAAATCAACAAAATATCTGGCTTTTATGCATATTTAAGAGTGATAATCAAAAAAAAAAAAGAGTGATCATCAAGAAAATATATGGAGTGGTAATATGAACAAACATTATCAGGGAAAACAAGTTAAGGAGATGCAAAGTTTTATAACATTTTTTCTGTCGTTGTGCGATTATTTTCCACATACTAGACGCGTGTGTAACAGAAGACAACTAGTTGTGAGCTACATATATATAGGCGCATGCTTGAATAGTGGCGTATTATGATTTAATTATGATGTCAAGAAATGATATGATTGTATGTAGGATAGTTAATCAAAGTAAGAGTATCATTAATCGTACACGAACTATACGAAGATGACTTAGGTGTATAGAATTTTGCAATATATTACCTCTATTTGTTTGATATTTGTTTGACGTGTGGGCTCTTAGAGAAATTTAATTCCACTTCTATTTGCTTGAACTGATAAAAAAAAAACTGACACTGTTGATATTTTTGCTAGTTTCTCGTCTCATTTCAAGCTACAAAACAATGTACAAAATATTTTTTGACACTTCAACTTAGCGTCTAACACAAATTCTAAATTAATCCACCTTGCTTAATTAGGTGAAATTCACTAAAAAATTACTTTCTTTTTTAAATGTAATGGAAAAACATCTAGGGAGAAAAGCTATCTAGAAGTTCCTACACCACATCCTTGTAGTCTTTAAGCTTCTCTTCACTTTCGTTTCATGGATAATGCATTATATTATTGTATATCTTCAATTCCTAGTCGTCTTGGTCTCCA